CCCCCCGTTGCCCCCCCCCCCCCGATGCTGCTGTGCTGCGGTGTCACCTGGAACGCCCTTGGGGACATGCACAGGTGAGTTAGGGGCTCGTGAATGTCCCCAAAATGTCATCCACAGCCCTCAGGGACACACAGAGGTGAGTCGGGGTCCCCAAAATGTGACCCAGAGTCCCCAGGAATACACACAGGTGAGTCGGGGGCTCGTGAATGTCCCCAAAATGTCACTCACGGCCCCTGGGGACATGCACAGGTGAGTCAGGGGCTCGTGAATGTCCCCAAAATGTCACCCACAGCCCCCAGGGACATGCACAGGTGAGTCAGGGGCTCGTAAATGTCCCCAAAATGTCATCCACAGCCCCTGGGGACACGCACAGATGAGTCAGGGGCTCAGTGGTGTCCCCGAAATGTCGTCCACAGCCCTCAGGGACACACACAGGTGAGTCGGGGTCCCCAAAATGTGACCCAGAGTCCCCAGGAATACACACAGGTGAGTCGGGGGCTCGTGAATGTCCCCAAAATGTCACTCACGGCCCCTGGGGACACGCACAGGTAAGTCAGGGGTCCCCAAAATGTCACCCACGGCCCCTGGGGACACGCACAGGTGAGCTGGGGGCTTGTGGATGTCCCTAAAATGTGACCCAGAGCCCCCAGGGACACAGAGGTGAGTTGAGGGTCCCCAGAATGTCACCCACAGCTCCTGGGGACCTGTACAAGTGAGTCGGGGGTCCCCAAAATGCTACCCAGAGTCCCCAGGGACACACACAGGTGAGTTAGGGACTCACAGATGTCCCCAAAATGTAATTCATAGCCCCTGGGGACACACACAGGTGAGTTGGAGGTCCCCGAAATGTGACCCACAGCTCCTGGGGACACACACAGGTGAGTTGGGGGTCCCCTAAATGTGGCCCAGAGTCCCTGGGGACACGCACAGGTGAGTCAGGGTCCCCAGCATGTCACCTATGGCCCCCATGGACAGGCACAGGTGAGTCAGGGACTCATGGATGTCCCCAAAATGTCACCCACAGCCTTGTGGACACGCACAGGTGAGTCGGGGGTCCCCAGCATGTCACCCCCGCTCCTGGGGACACACAGAGGTAAGTCGGGGGTCCCCAATATGTGACCTACAGTCCCCAGGGACACCCACAGCTGAGTCGGGGGTCCCCAAAACGTCCCCCCCACCCTCATGGACACCCACAGGTGACTCAGGGGGGCTCTATCTCTCCCCCCCCACCCCAAACACCTGCACCCCTCCCTAGGTGAGGGCAAAAGGGGGGTCCCCGAGCCCCCAGACTCACGTCCTTGAGGCAGCCCATGAAGTTGTTGCTGACGGGGGACCCCGGCAGGTCGGCGGTGTTGGGGGACCCCCCCACGTAGAAGAAGTCGTCGGAGCCCAGCATGGTGAAATCCTCCTGGGTGTAGCCCGTGGTGGTCAGGATGCCGTCCACCGAGATGGTCACCTGCGGCACGAGAGCGGCCGCGCTCAGCCGGGACCCCCCCGCGGCCGGGGCCACCTGCACACACCTGTACACACCTGCACACACCTGCACACACATGTACACACCTGCATACACCTGCACACACCTGTGCACACCTGCGCACACCTGCACACACCTGTGCACACTTGCACACACCTACACACACCTGTACACATCTGTAAACACCTGCACACATCTGTAAACACCTGAACAGACCTGTACACACCTTCACACATTTGCACACACCTGTACACACCTGCACACACACTTGGTGTGACTCTCATACATCTGCGCACACCTGCACACACCTGTAGTGACACTCACACATCTGCACACACCTGCACACACCTGTACACATCTGTAAACACCTGAACACACCTGCACACACCTGCAGTGACACTCACACACCTGCACACACCTGTAGTGACCTTTTCACACCTGTACACACCTGCACAAACACCTGCAAACACATGGTGTGACCCTCACACACCTGCACACACCTGTACACACCTGCAGTGATCCTTGCACACCTGTACACTCACCTGAACACACCTGCATGCTCCCCCTGGCTTTGCAGCAGTGCTCACACACCTTGCAGGACCTTACACCCACCTTGCATCTCGCACACACCTGTGCACACACCTGTACACACCTGTGCACACCTGTGCAGTCATGTACAACCCCTACACAGCTGTACACACCTGTGCAGTCATGTACAACCCCTACACAGCTGTACACACCTGTGCACACACACACCTTGCACACACCTGTGCACACCTGTTCACCCTCTCCCATCCCTTGCCTGCACACGCACACCTTGAGGGGCACACCTGTGCACATCTGCACACACACCTGTACACACCTGTGCACAGCTGTACACACCTGTATACACCTGTACACACACCCGTGCACATCTGTACACAGACCTGCACACACCTGTACACACCTGCACACACCTGTACACACCTGTACACAGCTGTACACACCTGTGCACACCTGCACACACCTTTTTACACCTTTTCACACCTTTTCACACCTGCACACACCTGTAAACACCTGCACACACCTGTACACACCTGCCCACACACCTCACGCCCCCCCAGCCCCTCCCCCCGCGGCGGGGGCGGCCCCGGTGCCCCCCTGGGTGGGTTGGGGGGAGGGGAGGCGAGGCTGAGGAGGGGTCGGGGGGCTCGGGGGGCG